AACTGTGACGACCTCAAACTCACAAACCAAACTGACGCTCGCGCACGAGTCAAACAACAGATAAAGGCGGGAAAATAATACTCGATGCTGATTGGACAAATTTTCTCTCTAAAACTGGTAAGTCACGTAATATGCAAGTGAAAGACTACTCGACGTTGATTGGATGATACTGAAAACACGTATGACCGGTTTAGCAATACAGGGAGCCCAAGAAATTAATTTGAATCTTTATTTGTAAGAATAGAAATAGCGTTTTGATAAAGAAAAATAGAAAGTGATAAAAAATATGAAAATGTGTAAGAACTTTTAGTTTGAATGTTTTGTATAAGCATTTCTCAGCAATGACTGACCATTTAGCTACCTGAGAATGCATTAATTACACTTGMATTTTTGRCTTTGAAAAKCTGTCACGAGAACCTTCCTTGTGACCCCTCTAAGCCCTATAAATACGCTGCTGCACAGGTACATTAATTTACATATATAACAATATTACATCAATGGCATATTTTATGGTTCAAAAAAGGACAGTCTGCATCGATTGCAAAGAATTCCATGAATGGTTGAGAAAACAGTGGCAAAGAACAGATGTACTACTAGTTGTATTAGCTTGTATGAGCTGCATTGGAAATGGATAAATGGATTTAAAAACTCCATCTATTTTCAATCTTTTGTATTTCTCTAAAAAAACTATTTTTATGTGCTTAAAAATTTTTTAACCCATTAATTTTTTTGATAATTTTGGTCTTCTCTGAAAAAATTAGCAAAATTGGCATTCTGTAAAATGTCATTTAAACAACTCTCAACGCATCTATAATATAAAAAATATAATAATTATAGAAATAATGTTCTTTTTTTTGCAAATCTAGCTTTCCTATTTCATTGTCCTTTCTCTTCTTTATTACAAACATGATTTTTGAAGATCATTGAACTGAAACAGATCTGAAAAAAATTTTTCACTTAGAAAATCCCTTTGCATTTTCTTATCTTTCCATTTTCCCATCTTTTTTAAGTGTTGTGTGACTGGGGCCAGGGGCAGGGGGTTCGTCCCCCCACCTGAGATCTGTCTATTTTTCAATATTTTTCTTATCTTGTGTCTTCAATAGTTATGATTTTTGTGGGGTGCAYCCCCTCCTGAAAGCCCCGCACCCCTCCCCTAGGCAGTACTGGATTCGCACCTGTAAGACACTAAGCTATGAACACAGTGTTGYTGGTTGTCGCGTCTTATGATTGCATTAATGAAGCATGCAGCTATAATTATGCACTCGCGTTTTCAGCATCAAAATATAAATTTGCGCAAAGCTGAAGCTATCCTAAAACAGCACAAGGAAGTATCGAAATGGAACAATTGACTATCGGACAAGTACCGAAGAGCAAATTTGAGATGGTGATATTGTGGTTCAACGGAGCGGGCTAAAAAGGGTCGGGGCCGACTTCACTGAGTTTGTGACAGACCCGCGAGCTCATAAACAAGAAAGTGTGTCGGATCCAGGGCGGCGTCTATTTTAGGGCTTTTGAGTGGCTTTTTATACTGAATGTCGCGATTTTCTTATTTACAATGAATGACTATATAAAATTTTAGAGCAGAGTCACTTGAACCATGAAATAGAAACTAAATATTTAGTAACTAATAGGCACTAGGACACCGTTACCGCACAGTTACCGGACCTGGCCTGCACAATTTTGGTGAACCAATGGGGCACTAGAATTTGGTTACAGTACGATTACGGTCACAGTACAGTACCGTCGGTTTCCCACTCATACGAAATCCGGTCTAGCTAAGTGGACAATAAAAACAGCAACAACTCAAAGTCACGTAAAGCAAAACAAAAGCAAACCAATAATAATAATAATTATAATAACAATACAAAACATTTGTGATTTTTTGCTATTTCATCTTTACGGATTTTGTTTTTTTTAGTGTGATTTTGTCCCGTATTTCTGTCGATTTTTACATATCACTTGTTTGCGTCTTTTGTAAAAACTTGAAGTCCGTTCCTCTTACGAACAGGAAATATAAAACAGACAAAAATCCTTATACATCAAAAGATTTATTTGGTTTCTGGACTTCAGACGTCAAAACGGCCTTCCTGTCAGACAGTCATGCATGGGCGGCCTGTGTTTTTTTGAGGTTCTTTTGAATGCTGGGAAGGTGATCCGCCATGTTGGAATTTGGTGCAAGTTTACTCCACCTAAAGTTGGATTTCCTCTCCCCAATACTTCTGTTTCCCGGCTCTGATTACATTTTTACCATGTGATATACGAAAGCCGTACACGCGTTTGCATCCTAGTCGAGTATTGGAATTGATCACTATGAAAAAACTATTTTTTTCCTCGAGTGCTTCGAGTGACTTGCAGAACAGCTTCGTTGGCAAGAGCTACCGAGTCGGCCGATTCTCATGTACWGTAGAAGAYGTCATTGCCGAAGGTAAGAAATATTTTTAAAGTTTCCTTGATTCYTTTTAGTGTATTAAGTTGTTGTTGTTCAAAAGCTTACACCACAAATTACTTTCAAACAATTGTCAGATCAGGACTTCGCCGCAAACA